TACAAAGCATAGGAATGCCTCAGTTCTTCTGAGTCAGTAAGAAAAAAAATAACAATTTTGTCTCTACCATCAAGCTTTCTACTACTCCTGCAATGGGCTGTCACAGAACCTGTTCCCTGCATCTGTTTGAAAATAAAGATCCTACGTAGCCTGAGACAGTATGGGAAAAGGACACCCCCTAGAGTGTAAGTACATCTCTCAGAAGATTATGTTTCAGGGCCTTATGATACATCATCTAAAATGCATTTAATGAAGCATCTTTAATCACAGAACCAATTCCTGTAAATGCTCTTTCATACCTATGTAACTGACTTTAAAAAACTTCAAACGTACAAATTGATTAAATTTGTCAATTATGATTTTAGTGAGAATCCTGAAGACATTTGACTGAAACCTGCAGAGGAAGACTCTAAGACTATTGGTTTGTTGATCATGCTATTAGAAGGAGCACTGAGTACATGGATTCTAGAAAGCAGGGATGGAAATATAAAGCATTCACATTAGGAAAATAAAAAGGTACTTTTAGAATAATTTACAAAAAATGAAACTAGCACTTTAGCACTGTTTCAGGCACTTAATATTTTTTCTTCCAAAACCACTAAGAACTTTTTTTTTCTATTTACCGCAGTCTTCACCAAAAGCTAGCTTATATTACTTTTAGGGCAATCACTGAGAATAGGATCTCTGAAGCCTTTTAAAAAGGAATGACAAATAGTAAAAAAAATTAGATATGCGGTGAACTTTTATATTTTTACTTTCAGATAATTATGCTACCACAGAATAAAACTGGAATTCAGAAATGTAAAATCTCTTATTAATACCCAAATGTGTACAGTTTTAAGCATGGGACTCTCCTGGAATGGTGCGTTAATAGTTAGATCCATCCCACTGGCTGTATCATGATACCATGATGCTCCAGCTTCCTTCTGTCCTGTGTACCTTTCATGAGTTCATGTTACCAGAAACATTACAGTCTCGTTCCTGACACATCTGCACTCCAGAGCCCTCCATCCTGACAACCAAGCTGGACTGGAAGTCCTTTAAGGAGCATATGGAGAAAGAACAGTGACTTTGTATTGTTGCTCCATCGGCAGTATAGCTGCACAGTTATTTTAGTTGGCTTACATGCTGTTGAAGACCACACATTAGGGTCTTTCTACATTACAGTTGTATTTTATTATTTGTAAAAAAGCCTCAAAAAAATCAGGACAAAACCAAACCAAACCACCATTTCAGATTATTTAGATGTTAGATAGATGAGAACACACATTTTTTCCTCCCATTTCTGTGTCTCATATGCCGTTTTTAAACATATGTAATGATGAAAAATTTTGATTATACAGTCACAACTAGTCATCTGGCACTGAGCTCCACCTGCTGACAAGTCTTTCAAGTATTGCAGAGCCTGCATACCAAGCCTCAGTTTTAACAATGGTTCCAGTACAATGCTGCAGTACGCAAAATAGAAGTATATGAAACATTTCTATAGCAAGAAAACCATATAGTTTTAAATACATATTCTTAAAAATAATGGGTTTGCACCTTTATAATATTTGTTTTTATCATGTAAGGAAAAAGGAGAAGACATATTAAAAGTGGCATACAGATTTCACTGTATTACCACTAAACAAAATGAACTACTATTTTATGTTAACAAAATTTATTGCCAGGCTTAAGCACTCTCTGAAGTTTTCCTATTCTGTAAAAATATTCAAGCCAATACTGATGCTGTGATTTTAAAGTCTTACTATGAAATGCAGACCAGCATCATTGTACTTAATTACCTGAGTAAATGGTTAACTGGCACTGCAATATTCCAAATATTCCTGATGTTTTTATTTCTAATCAGATCATTAGACATATAAAAGTTTTGTTGTTGTTGTTTTCTTTATTTTAATTATGGTGGATTACTGCCATGCTCTGTTGATCATATTAATAGCAAGAATAGCATATGTATCTTAGGACAGATGACAGGCCACACATCCATTGACTGAACATCTAAACACTGAAAAGTTAGTTCAAGCTTCCAGTTACTGGTTAATTTTTGTAAAGTAACATAACATATAATTCGGATACTACAACATTTTGGCAAAAAAACAGATGTTTACAAGGAATAACCAGCTTTTTCTTAGTATCTATCTCCTTACTTTTAGGTATGGAAGAAAAAAGTTAACTATGATTCTCCCGATTGCATAGCATGTAGTATCATAACTGCATAACTCTAGGGGGCTCAAAGACATTATAAACTTTTAGCACCTTCAGCATTAAAATTATCTCTGCCTTGCATGGTTATTTCAGAAGAATGGTATAAATGCTAGAAACAGGAAAATACGCTTTATTTTTCCACATATGATGCCAAAATTGTTAAACGCAATGTTCAGAAATGGCCAAAAATAGAATTTTTTTAACTCCTTGCTATGCTATCATGATTGAACAGAACAGAACCATTCAGCAATTTCCTTTTTTCTTAAGATGTGTACATGAACGCCAATACACAGCTAACATATTACAAACAGTAAAATATATTGACCAAACCAAACCATATTGAACACACTAACAAAATATGAAACTTCCTACAGTTAACAAAGGCAAAAAGAACATGGAAACAAAGGAAATTATAACATACACGTAACATAACATTGTCTATAAAAACATATCAAATGGCATTTCAGAATTTCATTCCTTGTAAGTATTCTATTCTACTGTTACCTGTTGTAAGAGATGGAAAACAAAACAATTTGCGAACTATTCCACTATGAAATTGTCTATGATACCATATAAATACTTAGAGACATGAAACTTGACAAAGTTCTTTTGTATATCATATTTTTTATTTTAAATTACCAAAAAAACCCCACTTGTGACTGAATACATGAGAATTTACTTCATATGCATGCTCACAACACAAGCCAATTATGATTTTGTCATTCTTAGGAGAAGAATTTGTAAAACAAGTGTTTATGATGAATTTCAGAAGAGAGGTAAATAACCATATTCAAACGTAGTATCAGACAACATTTAGATGAACTGCTTTTAGATACAGATGAGAAGCCTAAACAGATTTATAGCTGAAGAAACAATGATCCTCTTGAATGATACCAGGATGAACAACCAGCAGCAAGAACATTTCTTTTCTGATCATTTAGCAGCTGCGTAATTTTAAGGAGTTTTACTAAAAAAAATCCCATTATAAAAATCACCAGAATGCTTATTTATACAAACAGCCCTTCAGTGTACTATTTTTTCATCCTGAGATACAATCAAGACTGCTCTTCCAAGGTACAGCAACTTGAAAAAAGTTTCATTTAGACTGTAGTTGTATCTACCGCTTTTGAGTCAATTTTACTAGAACAGGATATCAATTTAATAGTTAAGCAAGACTTAAGTGGTATTTGCCTGTCCTAAATAACTTACTCAAGGGAAATCACCCAGCACTTAAGACATATTCCGTTATTTTTCATGGTGCATACAAATTATAAGACTAAATTCTCCTAAACCTAAACAGCAACATTTTTCTTACTCTCAGCACATTTAATGTATGTAAAAATGCATTTCTTGCATTGTTCTAGAAATCTCAGCATGTACTTTCTCTGGCAAAAAAAAAGATAAATTATCATGGATACCTTTTATTCCAAAGAAATCAAGAGGTCAGAGTTCTTCACTGTGCATTGTACATAGACACAAGGATTATTTTCTCCCACCCATTGGAAGAGACATTTGGACACCAGAAGACAGAATTTCAGAATCTTGAACTGAGGTGGAAGAAACAATCTAATTGAGTCTAATCTCATGATTAGACTCATCATCTCAACTAACCCTTACAGACAATATTCACTAACACTACTACAGGATATTACATGAAATAACAAACAAGATAGCCTACCCCCAAAAGATTCCAAGCCTCCTAATCTTTCACAATCATTATCCTGATCCGTCCTTTCTCCTTCTCCATCTTTTTGTGCTTTACCAACTCCTCCTAGATCATGACAAGCATACAAGCTTTGTAAAATAATGTTTTGTACCAGTGAAAATGGCAACCACCTGCTAGTGCCTTGTAAACTTTATACAGCAGTAGTGGAAGCAAGAGAATACTGACAATTAAGCATAACTGTAGAATGGGAATGGAAAAAAACAAACTTGGTTCCACAAATAGATAAAGAAAACAAAAGCATTCCTCTCAGAAACAACAACTTCATTACCATTTCACTGAGCTACTGCTCTGTGGGCCAGAAGAAATGGTAGGCTAAACCTCTAAAGAAAACAAGTCACAAGCATCTTGTGTATTTCAAACCTGATCCATAAAAGCAAACACTACTGCTTGTCCCTTTAGTAAACAGGTACTGTTTGTTTGCTTTTTTATGTGGCCTACTATCTCTACACATAGCTGCATACAATTGAGAAAAGAAGTCACACAAAATATTAGCAAAGTACTTATTTAAATTATATGGGGTCTCATCACAGCACAAAAAGTTCTTTTTGATTATTAAGAGCATGTAAACATTTAAAAATAGTTGCAGTGAAACCAGTGTTTGTTTCTGTTTAAAGAAAAGAGTAGTTACAGTACTTAAAATTAATTTCTCAATTACACAATGTGTGCAGTGATTCCAACAGCTTTTACTGTTAGTTTTCTATCTACAACTGGGAATGTATTCCTTCAACACAGCCAATGAAATTAGCAATAGCTACTCAGTCATGTTTATTAAATCTATTTAAGGATTTATACTTTTGATTATAAAACAGTCTAATAAGAATCTAAGCATCAAGTTTCCAAAAGACCAAACCAAATCCACAGATATACATAGGGTGTTGCAAGTTATTGCAACCTAAAAAAAAAAAAAAAATAATCACACAATTGTACTCTTTTTCTAACCAAATCTTCACAAATGCAAAGTGAAGTTTATTCACTTCAGTCATCCCTGTAAATCCCTTGAGACTCCGATCCCAGGACTAAAGTACAATAGCAAGGCTGCACAATTCAGTAAAACAGATGTGAAACTTACCATAGAAGTCACTGATCTGGCATCTTCTTCGTAATTCACTACAGGTGGTGGCTCTTTCCCATCATTCTCTTGAACCTTTTGTTCCAGGAGTTCTTTCTGGGCTGCAAATTTTGCCTCAGAGCACCTCAATTGCTGAACTGTTTGTTTAAGTTCTTCCAGCGCTTGCTTTTGGCTCAGCAAGAGGACAATACTTCAGAGAAAAACAGCAATCAATCAAAAAATATACATGATTTAAAATATATACTTTGTTTCATTTCAAAGCTACAAGACAAGGCAAGCAAACACCTACTTTGTCATTCTCTTTTCTCAGTCTATCACAAAAATCACATTGTAATAAATATAGATGAAACTACTATTTTCATCCACTTTTGACTGAAGCTATAAACACTAAGGTTCCCCATCCTTTAGAGAAGAAATACATTTTTAGGTTATGATTTCCAGTGATGAGAAATCCACTGCAAACCACATAATTGTTGTAATAATAATTTGCACTGTTAAACTCACCTTACATCCAGTATAAATTTGTCTGGTGTCAAGTTAGAGATATCTGTTGTCTCTAGTTCTAGACTGAAAGGTCCTCTACTGCATAAGTATTTCTGGACTGCATTCTAACATTCTTATGAAGCTAAATAAATTGAACTCTACAAGGAGCTAAAAGCAATTTTTTCTTGCCTTCTGCATGTTTTTATGGCTCTCCTCTGAATATCCCTCATCCCCCTGAATGTTGCAAGACAGACATAATTCATTCATTATTGAAGGACAAGCAGACCACTTAGAACATCTACAGGCACCTATTATCCCCAGGAACCGCCAATACCAAAGATGGACAGAAGCTGCCTAAGAGACAGAACCATCCACAGTACAATACAGACACCCTTAAAAGCACTTAATTGGAGCCCAGTGACATGTAGTCTATAATGAGATGCAGAGTCCTCACAGTCTGCAAGAACAGATGAAGGAGGTAGAGGGACCAGAACTATGAAGAATGAGGACAGTATAAAGAAAAATCGCAGTATTCTGTCACTCTGTATCTTCAGAACAATCCCTGGAAGACAGACCCTCCTGCAAGCCTTACCCTTGGAGAAAAAAAGAAATTTAAAAGTCATTGATACTGAGACTGTTCCCTCACAAACCTACGCTGAGACAAATGACTAATCAAACAGGTTTCAAAGTGATAAGGGACCCATCTGTCATAAAATCCTTATTGGTAGGAAAAGATAAAAATCATATCCCTATAGATGAGAATTGTACTAAGTCACCAAAGAACAGAACTCCATACAATCAGCAGAATGATCACTCATGTAAAAAGGGTAAGTATGATGTATGAAGACAGAATCAGAGGACCTAAAACTGAGGTTTGGCATGAGACTGCACACATTTAAAAGCATCCAACAAAGAAATGAACAATTATCCTGTCATTATCATCAAGAGCAAAGGGAACACCCTGTGAAAATAATGGCCTTACACCATCAGCAGGGCTTTGGTGAATACACATTGGCTAGAAGGACAACATCCCAAACACTGAATGGTTTCAACTCATCATGATCCGGAGATAAGACATACCCTGCAAGTTAAAAGTAACCAGCTATTCTCTTTCCTGAACTGTGGCAAGATAGATTAACACCTAATTGGTTTGCCCAAATCCAACACAAAATACTCCCCATCCCACCTATGCATGAGGAATCAGAATCTATAGAATTGTTTTCCTATGGCTTGCATGAGTGTAAACTTTATAAGTCCCTGTGGCCAGAAAGAGCTACTAGCAGCCTCACAGAGTGAGATCTTGTGTGAAGAAGCCCTGTAAGACCAAAACAGGGCAACAGGTTGCAAAGTGGTAAAAAGGTGAACTGAATCAAAACCCAAATATTTAATATGCTATCATGTCAGGAGCGCAAATGGTATGCTTGACATACACATATATAAATAAAATACAATTAAAACACTCCCTGTGTTGCAGGTGATATCTTAGAATCATAGAAACATTTAGGTTGGAAAAGACCTTCAAGATCATCAAGTCCAACCATCAACCATGCCCACTAAGCTATGCTCTGAAGTGCCTTGTCTACGCACTTTTTGAACACCTCCATGGATGGTGACTCAACCACTTCCCTGGGCAGCCTGTTCCAACACCTGACAACCCTTTCAGTGAAGAAATTTTTCCTAATATCCAATCTAAATCTCCCCTGCTGCAACTTGAGGCCATTTCCTCTCCTCCTATCTCCAGCCAACTGACAGAAGACACCAGCACCCACCTCACTACAACCTCCTCTCAGGTAGTTGTAGAGAGCAATAAGGTCTCCCCTCAGCCTCCTTTTCTTCAGACTAAACAGCCCCAGTTCCCTCAGCCGCTCCTCATAAGACTTGTGCTCCAGGCCCCTCACCAACTTGGTTGCCCTCCTCTGAACAAGTTCCAGCAACTCAATGTCTTTCCTGTAGTGAGGGGCCCAAAACCAAACACAGTACTCGAGGTGCAGCCTTATCAGTGCTGAGTACAGGGGGACGATCACTTCCCCACTCCTGCTGGCCACACTATTTCTGATACAGCCTAGGATGCCGTTGGCCTTCTTGGCCACCTGGGCACACTGCTGGCTCATATTTAGCTGGCTGTCAACCAGCACCCCGAGGTCTTTCTCTGCCGGGCAGCTTTCCAGCCACCCTTCCCCAAGCCTGTAGCGCTGCATGGGGTTGTTGTGACCCAAGTGCAGGACCCGGCACTTGGCCTTGTTGAACCTCATCCTCAGCTCATCCATCCAGCCTGTCCAGATCCCTCTGTAGAGCCTTCCTACCCTTGAGCAGATCAACCCTCCCTCCCAACTTGGTGTCATCTGCAAACTTGCTCAGGGTGCACTCAATCCCCTCATCCAGATCATTGATAAAGATATTAAACAGAACCGGCCCCAATACTGAGCCCTGGGGAACACCACTTGTGACCTGCCGCCAACTGCATTTAACTCCATTCACCACAACCCTCTGGCCTCGTCCATCCAGCCAGTTTTTCACCCAGCAAAGAGTACATCTGTCTAAGCCATGAGACACCAGCTTCTCAAGGAGTATACCACGAGAGACAGTAAAAAAATACCATCATTTGAAGGTGGGAAGGGATATTGGTGCCAGGATAATAGTACCAATACAGCTAAATATTGAGAAGGAACACAAAATCAGAGGCCTGGAGATACACTTCTGCACATGCCCTAATGAAAAATACAGTAAGTGCAAAGATCAATTTGTAGTGTTGCCAGAATTAGACACCAAGAAATGCTTTCATGCCCCAAATCAGACTGCCACTGCAAAGTCAGTAAACAGCTCAGAACTTGTGATACTGAAGCTGTGTCAGAAAGAAGTAGGCAGAGAGCTGAAGTCCAAACTGATTCAACTGAAGAGACAGAAAACGATTTTGCAGACTTTTATCATAATTTTTGCCCAGATAAAGCAGACAAGGAGATTTCCTCAGCACTGAAGGGCGAAGCTCAGCACCTTGGGTGAGGCTCAACAGTAACATAGGATCTAGAGCATTTGGAGTGGACCTCCTCATTTTCTTTCCTGACAACTGATTTGCATTGCATCAACAGAATGACCTCTGAACAGGCATGGTTTCATTTATTGCTCAACTACCTTTACCTTTCACCTGGTCTTTCAGCACTGAGGCCAGTGCCATATGCTATGACAGCAGTCAAGATCATGCAACAGTTGGATGAGATCTTCTAGGGACCGTAAGTACATGCAAAAACATCCTGATCACTCTGCACTGCAGTAAAAAGGTGAAAACGGTGTCTGTTGGAGGAACCATGACCAATGACAAATCAGAACTGGGGTGATTTCAAGGAAACTTTTATCTTACAACTAGAAATCTAAGCGAGATTTCATGCCTTTTAATAAGACCCTATAGGTACTGGTGCAGTCTGAACTGAAGTATCTCCTCAACACCACAAACATCTGCTACGGGCTCAGTCAAAGGAGCCTACCCACAGCAAGAACCACAGAGGTGGTCTGAACTATTCTCAGAGAGAGATAACTGATATTAAAAGAATACCGAAGGAAGAAAAAAAAAAAACAAACCCACCATCAAACTCATCTAGTTCAAATACAGTTTATCCTTTAAGTAACATGCAGCAAAGAAGGTAGGTCAAGAACCAGAAAATTGGAAAATATACTGTAAGTACATGTGAACTTCACCAAAGAAAGAACAGGAAAGTATCTAATCAAAACACTGATATCATATACATACATAAAGTTTTGGATTTGAATGAAATACTATCCAATGCATCAAGTGACAAGATCCCTTCAACAAAGAGCTTCTAGACTTCTTTAGTGAATGAAGACAGGATTACCTGAGGACTTACATTCCAATTCACTGGTATTGTTGTCCTGGTGTCAGCTGGGATAGAGTTAATTGTCTTCCTAGTAGCTGGTACAGTGCTATGTTTCGAGTTCAGTATGAGAAGAATGTTGATAACACTGATGTTTTCAGTTGTTGCTAAGTAGTGTTTAGACTAGAGTCAAGGATTTTTCAGCTTCTCATGCCCAGCCAGCGAGAAAGCTGGAGGGGCACAAGAAGGTGGCACAGGACACAGCCAGGGCACCTGACCCAAACTGGCCAACAGGGTATTCCATACCATGGGACGTCACATCTAGTATAGAAACTAGCAGGGAATGGGGGCAGGGGGATCCCCCACTTGGGGAGTAACTGGGCGTTGATCAGTGGGTGGTGAGCAATTGCCCTGTGCATCATTTGTATATTCCAATCCTTTTATTATTACTGTTGTCATTTTATTAGTGTTATCATTATCATTATTAGTTTCTTCTTTTCTGTTCTATTAACCCGTTCTTATCTCAACCCAGGAGTTTTACTTCTTTTCCCAATTTTCTCCCGCATCCCACTGGGGTGGGGGGGAGTGAGTGAGCAGCTGCATGGCGCTTAGTTGCTGGCTGAGGTTAACTGTACGACAACTGTAAACTAGTATTTATGACCAAATTTGTAAGGTTATGACTGATTGCAACAAGAATCAGAAAAACATCACTACAGACAGAAGGTTTCTTTATCTGTTGTATTAACTTCAGTTTACAGTGGGATGTGAACATTTTTTTCTTATCAGAGGTAGGAAAAAACCTAAAGATCTTGCCCAAGAATGACTCTTTATTATAATGTTTTATTTATGGCACTGTAAAACACTCATTAATCCCTCACCTTTATTATTTACTATGCAGTACTACAGGGTATCAGAACTACATTCAGTTTTGTAAACAAAATGCAATGAAAAATTAACTTAACTTGATGAGTTCCAAACATATTATTGCATAAGAAAGAGTACGTCTTGCACATGACTGTGAAAAAGTCTTTCACAAAATTATATCTACACATTTAACTCCATCAAACAGAGAGGTAATCTGAACTGACTCCTCTTCTTCCACCAATCTGAAGTTATAATACTAATCAAAGGTCCACTTCGTGAGCCATGCCAACACTATGACAATTATATTAAACTAATGGGGTTGCTTAGTTCTCCAATGAATTAGGGTCTGCAGTGTAAGGGTTTATTTTAGAGATGGAAAACTAACTTCTTGTTTTTCAAAACAATCACTTCTCACAAAAGCAGAACAAGATTAGTGGAGGTTATTTCTTATGTAAGTCTTAGGAATTGCATTATAGATGCTTTTCCCTCAAATTATTATATTTTGAAATTTCATTTTTACTTACTCAGACTTCTTTTCACAAGTCTTAGATGACTCTTCTATTTTTTTCTCCAGTTCCAACACAAGTTCCTCTTTGCTCAAAAGGGTTTGCTGTGTCTGAATCAGTTCTTCTATTACTGTTTTTAACCTGTAAGACATAGATTTCAGAAACCCATGTTGTGAATACACAATCGGAACATTGTAATTTTTCTCCTGAAGATGAAAAGGAGCATTACTCTTTAAATTATCTTACTCAGTGCTTGGTGATCTTTTTTGTGTAGATATACCTTTATATTATGTTATTAACCCATATTATTACAGATCCCATACTAGGCTCTGCCTACATACAAGGCTACAGAATGATCTGCTGCCTACAGGCTCTCCTATCAAGAAATTATTTTCCGGAACATGTGATGAGTTCTGTGAATTAATGCCTTCCTAATATATTGCTAATTCATGAGATGCTTTATGAAAGACAAAAGCCTTCCAACTCCTGAAGTACCTGTTAAATAAACACACAGAATCAGTAGCTGGGCTGTATTCATTTCTAGAAATAACAAAAATACAAGTTGACACTTCTCTTACAAGAGTGATCTGTATATTTGTCTCTACAATTAACTTTTTTAAAGCCTCACAACCTTTGGTTATGGTTAATTCAAAGGAAAGATAAAACTTGTACAGTAACACTCAATACTAACAGAGAAGAGCTTATTGCATATTAAAACCATTACTGACACTGCAATTATGCTGGCAAATATTCTAGTAACCAAAAAGTCAACAAATGTACAATAACATTTGCACTCTGAACAATGTGGAAAAACAGCTCACATAATGATGATTTCTAAAATGTGTATCAAAGTATATTTGTTGACTTCAAGCAATTGTTAAGCCAGGAGAAAAATTGTTTAAATAAATAAATACGCATACCTCAGTTCCTTCTCAGCATTCATCTATCCTTTAACTACCTTACTCTGCTTCCCCTGTATTTTCAAGCCCAATTTCAACTAAAAAGTTATTGAAGAGTGGAAAAAAAGCAAAATACATATAGTACTTATCACCACAGAGATATATTGCCCAAAATCATTCCAGATTGGGGAGTGGCACAGAAGGTCAACTGAGAGTAATTTACATGGACTGTAGATATCTAGGAGCCACATTCCATGTCCATATATATCAAACTGAATTATTTGATTCTAAACATTGAATTAGTTCTCCCTCCTCCTGATATATTTTATACAATGTTGATTAAATATATTCTTTATTCAGACAGTCCTGGATCTTATCTTGGAAGACTTAAATTACTATAAGAAAGCCATATAGCGAACGATAAAAGTTTATTTCCCAAATGAACAAGCATTTGCATGTTTTTATTTCGAGATAAGGGAAATACTTAAAACATTTCTCTCAAAGTAATATCCCCACAGCTCCCTTTTTAATAAACATTTTTATTGTTTTTAAGTTATCACAATCTGTATGCTGAACTTCTCAGAAATGACTATTTTCTAACACTGCGCCTCCAATTTAATATCAACTAACTTTTTTTTTTTTTCATACCTTGCTAAAAAAGTAATTACCAATTTTGTAACTGCAGATACTGCTTTTTTGATCAGCTTTCTAATCAAAATTTTAATCAACATTGTATTGGCTTAACAATTGATTTACAGGACGCAGATGTTACATGTAATGATCAAGTACCAACAATCAAGAAATTAAAACCAAATTAATAAGATTGTTCATCACTGGAAGGTATGAGTGTATACATGTAGAAACAACATATTAAACTATTTCACCATTTCAAAAATATCACATTTTATATTGCAGCACCAGATTTCAAAAATATCAGGTTTTATATTGCAGCACCAGATTGAAACAGAAAGTTGATGTAGTTCTTTAAAACATCTGAGATACTTTAGGATGTTTGTATTTATCTTAGAGAAAAAAAAAAAAGCAACCATATACACACTAAACTGGCTTGTCTCCTTGTATTCAAGCTCTATTTTTTATTTTAAACAATAATTTTCATTCAAACTGGCTAGAACTGACATCTCTGCATCTGCCTTGTATCATCCTGGTTGTGGTTTGTCAAAGGAAGTTTCTTATGGCCTTGTATTTGCCTCCTGGATAAAATTAGTTTACAGAAGGGTTTTTATTACTAACCAGTTAGTCACTATAATCCTTATTAGCTTTAACAACCACACAATCCCAAGTTGTCAGGTTTCAATGGTATGAGAACACATAAAATGAGACCAAAAACAACCTAGAAAGCAAACATCTTCAAACTAGGTTCTGGCTACCTGGAAAGCTGCCTTTCTTATTTCTTTAGTCATTAGCATGATTCTGCCTCAAATATCAGTAAAAATAAATGCTTGTGCTTATAGAACTTATATTTCAGAAGATTTTTAAAAGTAATTTGGATATTAATTCATATGCCCACTGATCAATACTTGCTTCATTCTGGTTGCCTCCTCTGAGTTTTTAATGCATGCGTCTTCAAAGTATAAACTTTTATTCTGTTATGCTTTTCAGAGTATCTAAGATTAGTGACAGTCATCAACATTTATCAGGAGACACCATACCTCTCTCATTACTTAGAAAGGTTATCTAGTCAACACTGACTTTTACTATGTCCCTCTGTCAAAACTTTATTCATAAATGTAAACTTACTTAAAAATGTAAAAGTGAGCCAGATTTCTCATTGTATTTCCTTAAAATATATTTTATGAAAACCTTTAAACAGTAATGTATGTAAAGCTGTCATTTTTCTCTCACATAATAAAACAACTGATTCAACCAAAAATTATTGATTCTGAATCAATATACAACTTTGAATCTACTAAAAGTCTGTGAAATAAATCCACTATGTATACTAGATTTATTATATTTGGTAGATCCTGAAGGTAGTTCTCCTCTGCAGAAACATGACATAGTACTTTGAAGATGCAAGGCCATGATCTCAATACTAAAGATCAACAGTCAAATTTCTGTTGTTTCAGCACATACAGAATGGATTTTTAAAAAGTCATCATCTATGGATAAAGGATATAATATCTTATTTGTGAATTTCTAGTCATACATAGTAAGTGGATGCAAATACTTGTGGGTTTTTTTTCGCTGTAGTGGTTTTAAAGCAAGACTGTAACAAAATATACCTAAAATGCAGTTAACAAGGTATATGAGCAAAGGCAGTTACAGAGAACTAAGCACTCCTAAAAGGAAGGGTTCTCACCCACACTAAAAAGCAATTTAAAAAAAAGGACAAATAAGATAAAAATAAACAGTTTTTACAGTGCCAGGAGCTAGTAAGGCTTCACAAAAATCTTCATTGCTTAATATGTTCATAATAATCCAAATAAAAGGACGGTTTAAAAAGTGAAAAACAATGCTGACTGTACAATGTTATTTGAGGTAGGGCAAAGGGGCTGAACGTGAAGAATACAAAAGGATTATTCTGGACCTCATGATACTCAATAACTGGACTGTCATTTAGAAGACTAATTTCAATGCATGTTGAAATAGCCAAATACACAGGAGGAAAAACAATCCAAAGCTTTATTTATGTAGTGAATGGCTCTAAGCTGACCATTACCACTCAGAAATGACATCTTGGAATTAAAGTAGATGATTCCATGAAAACACTGGCTTGAAACACTGCAGTGGTCAGAAAATCAAACAGAAAGATTGTCTAGGATTTTTTAAAAATAAAGCAGAACAAGAACACAGGAAACCTCAGTATGCCTCTCTCTAAACTATGCATCGGGATTACCTGTGCAATTCTGGTCATTCATCTCAATACCAATACAGTAACCTTCAAAACATTCAAATAAAGATGACAAGCATGATAAAGGATATGAGTAAGTTTTGTGGAAGGACAGACTAAAGCTAAAGATGGCTCTGAAAAAGAGATCACAGAGTAGGAGTATGACAGAAGTTTACATTATCATAGGTGGTAGGGAATAGATTGCTCCTATTCTCTTTCAAAACAAGAGTTTAAGAGCCATAAAATGAAACTAAGTGGCAGCAGGTTCACATAATATGAAGTTAATCTCTGGAATTCCTTGACCAAAAATTCTGTGGACAACAGAAACTTGTACATACTGAAACTGACTGGACAAATTCACAAAAGAAAAATATCTCTAAGGCTATGATAAAATACCTCTAAGGCTACTATAAACAAATACTACATCTGTCTCAAAACATTTCTAAGCTGAAAATTATGGGAGGTTGAGAGATCATTCTGAGGAAACAGCACGGCATGATCATCCTATTCTTGTTCTCCTCCCTAGACTTTTCTCTGTTGGCTCATGTAAGAGAGAAGAAAGTTTATTAGGTCAATCTTTGGTCTGACCTAATACACTTAAACTTTTTTGCTCAGAGTCCTAAATCTATACCAGAAAGCAAACACCTTAAAGACAGCAACACTTAAAAGAGCTATTTGATTGCTGTTCCAAAAATAATATCACACCATAAAATTTCACGCTGAAATTCACAGAGGAATTTAAAGTGGGTGAATATAAGATTTGTAACATGACACACTCGAAATTGTATTGAAAATGTATATATGTAGGCAAATAAGCAGACACACTTTTCTAAACACAAATATGTATTTCATCAGAATAATTTACTAGAAAAGTAGTATTTCATCTCTTTCACTTAGACGTGCTGATGTCTTATTTCTAAACAATGGGATACAGAAGACAAGCCAAACAAGAAGTTCTTTCTCTTGTTGAACTATGGAAGGCAGAATCTTTGAAAAATTGTAATACTTTATTGAAAAGGGAGATTTGGTATATATATTTTTCCTGTTACCATGCTGAAATACATCTAGATGTACAACATTTACACAGTTTAAGCAGGACTAATCTCAATTTAGTAATGATGCAGAATGTATTATAAATAGAAACATGTTTAAAGGGAAAGGAGGGCCTTTAATTATCGAGGGATCCTTTCATAAGACAGATGAAACTGCTTCAGGACAAAGGAGTCTGACAAAGGAGTCTGAAACTTCATATGAAAAAGGTTATTTCAGTACCTATTAAGGAATAAATTTACAAAAAGTAATCAGATTGCACAGGAAAAAAGAGAGGATGATTAATGACCTTGAAAAGGAATTAATCTGGAGACTCTGTCATGTTGAGAAAACACAGGGATTAGAATAATCTGCAGAAGTCACTGCAATGTGTTTACGTTTAAAATACCTCACTGCTATTAAGACTCACTACAATTTTGGTTTCAGAAAAACATACAAGAAATAAGGATCCTAGTTTGATTAAACAGATGAAAATTTTTAAAAAGCTTAAAAAAAACCCACAACACACCACTGATATCTTATTTGTATCAGTTATGCTTTCTAAAGGAAAAAAACTTCAAATAAGTCAAACACAGGCTGAAATACAGTAGAGACAACAAAAACATCATCGACCAATGAAATTCTGAATTTTCCATTTTAAATTGCTATGATCAATACAAGAAAATTTAAGTGTACAATTAATAGTTGCAATCTCACAAGTGACTGCTTCGGACCACTTTATGTCAAAAGTTGAGGCTGATAATGTAACAAGAACATAATAAACTCAGCAGGAGATTTGTTCCCCAGTAACAAATCTTTAAAGGTGAAGTTGGTAAAAGTAATGAAAAGATTTAACTAGGCAATATATTAATAAAATACATAGAGAGGTAGTTTATCACCTTGAATAGCTAAAAGCTCCATGAAATACAATACAACAGCTACACTTGTGTTAGTAAATTAATGTATTTTAAAGGTTATAATAATGAATAAGAATTTCCTTTGGAAAATGAAAGCAAACACTTACAAAACAAGCAAAAATTAATATATTCATGAAAATTTTCTGCACGGCAATTTAAATCACTGACTATATCACTGTACTCTGTAGCTTCATCAAAAGATTTCAGTATTTTTCCTAGAGTACTGAATGGGGAAGCACTTTTGGGAAGATGAATCAGTATGTTTCCAAGGAGGAGTCATGATGGATTTGGGGCATTGTATAAATTAAATGACAATGAGAGGAAGATATATTGAAAATGCTGGCAAGTGTTTGGGGGAACTGGGGAGGAGTATTTTGTGCAAAGGAACAACAAAACCAGCACAGGAAAGAGGCTATAGCGTGAAATATTATTTTTAGAAACTGGACCTTAAAAATGAGGACACAGCTATGCAATGATCTGAGTGAGCCTAGATACAATGTATAACAGCACTTCCAAAGGATGAAAAGTTTGTAAAGAAAGACTTACGTGACTTGTAAACTTTCTGCTGTTAGATTATTCCACATGATCTCATTAGCTTGAAGGTTTTCATTTTCTTCTAGTAAAGACGTATCAAACTCTATTTCTTGTTCAACAACTTCTGATGACCTAATTTAGTAAATAAATGTTATATTTTCAAAATTAACATATATCTTTGAGTAGATCATAAAGCAAATCATTATGTTTTGAATTATTTTAATAACTGGAATATATAGTTAAAATTACATATGAAATAAAAGGAAAGGTAGCGACTGGATACATATTCTTTTTCCTTGGAATAAAAAACATAGTCTTAAAATCATACCAGATAATAAAATGGCATACAATTCTTTGAATCAAGATCACAGCATAACCAAGGTTCTCAAGGGTTATCAATGTGAATAGGTCCACTCTTAGCCGATCCTGTTATAAACCTGCACATGACAATTACCAATTCACACACAACAACAAAAAAGGTAATGCAAGAAGTCTTAGGACTTTTTCTGTACATACTAATACAGAGTTACAGTTCAATAAATGGCGAATACAGTTCATCTTTAAAGTAAAAAACCTTCTTGCATTATCTGCATACTCTGTAGTCTCAGGCACTGCTCAACCTGCAATAACTGCAGAGTATACAGAGGTACCTAGAATTCACTTTAAACTAGAATTTGGACAATAAGAGAAGTAAAGCAGAGAAACTTAATTTAGCCCAGAATGCAAACTGCATCCAAATAAACAGTAAATTAGCTCACACTGAATCTGGACTGTCATGTATAGTCTGCTGTCACCACCAAAGTTATGGGTCTTCATATGTAATAACAGTAACTGGAATTTTGTTTTTCTAGACCCAGCCAAAAAGATGAATGGATGGTTAAAGATACAGTCAGGTTAAAAACCTGACTTTCAGCCAGCTTTCTGTACATGCAAGTAGAACAATTTTCAAACCAGGATAAAGCTTTACAAGCAGCAATGTAAAAGGAATCAAACAGAAACAAATTCAACTCTGATCACTTAAGCAGTGTTGCAGTTTAATGCAGGGTTTTCTCAAAGAAGAAACATGAACATGCACACTAAGATGAACGTGTATACCTGTGAGTATCTATGAAGTCATTATACTCAGAGTTAGGGTCTATCTGTTCAACTGAGGTCTGGATCTCTTTATGGACATTCACAATCTCTTCTGTTACAAGACTGGTGATCTGGCTATACTCATCCAAGATTCCTTTTCTAGAGAGGAAAAAAAATTCTAGTGTATAACATGGCACTGAAGGCATAGATGGCATTGAAGATGCTTCAAACTTTCAATTTGCTGTTTCTACATACTCTTGTTGCAACTGGCTAAAAAGGGAAAAATAAGACAGTATGTTACTCAAAGAAGTAACAGATCAACTGTGGCCTTTTCTTTACAGATTGGCTATGAGTGAGAAGTCTCTACGACCATGCTGCTTGTATTGATTTCAGTGCATCTACACACAGGTTAGCCAAACTAAAAACTGTAGAGATTACAAGGAAAAAGAATGTATACAGCTCATTGATGACGCTCTTCTTCACAAAGGATTTATCATGTTTGTTATAGCCCACACTAAAGCTTTTTATGTTCTGACTGACAAAACAATTGTATTCTGGTATAAGGCAAAACAAGTCACAAAATAGTGTGAATTTCCTTTAAAAACAGGCTTGCTTTATTGTTTTAACTATCTTCTTTCATATATTTATTTTATGATTTGTCATTCAGACAAAGATAAGCATAAATCACAAGTTAGCGTACATTTACATATATTTACAAGAAGAAACAAAATCAAGCAAGAATTTCCTGTAAGAAAGTACAAGCCATCCAGCCTTGTCTTTACCACCTTCTGAGAGTGGGAAAAACCAAGTGAATAGCAAATGGTAAAAGAATAGGGGATATTGTGCCACTACTCTTAATAGCATCCAGTGACACATCCTTAGAACACCCGCCTATTCTCTTTAACTTTTAGCTTTCCATAAATGAACCCTCATAACAATTTCCTGTTTCATTTTTATCTTTGACAAACTTGATAGCTTGCCAGGCTCTGACGCATGGTGAGCTTTCTTAAAATACTGATGAATTTTGGCCAGCCCAGAGGAACATGAAGAGAAAAAAGCATCAATAGATTTTTCCTGGATAAGTTCTCAAGTTATGTTTACTCTGTAAAAAAAGTTATGTGACTGGATTTTTTCAATGCTTTTTCTGAGGAGAAAACAGACAAGGGAAGGCATTGAATCTTGCCTTGCCTGTGAACAACATGTGTGAAAAGGTTCCAGGAAATAGTTCAAAGAGTGTGGTGAAAAGATAGATGAATGTCAACTACAGCAATGCCATATTGAAGAGAAAGGAAATCTATGTCAATTCCAAAAAAACCAACCAAACAAACAAACAAAACCCACCAACAGCCCCCCCAACCATTAGCAATGTTAATCTACATTTCTTCAAGTTTACCGAACAAGTTCATCTGCAAAATCAGGATTATAAAGGAAGTATGATTCATGGAGATGGCCACACCAAGCTGTACACCTGAAGTCACCACCTCTTTTTGTATACCAAAGATACTAGAAAGGACTAATTTTCCAATACATTCAGATCTCACAAAAAATGTCTATGTAGAGACAAAAATATTTTTTTACAGGTTTTTACTCCAGACATAGCAAAGGTGAGCAGGTTCAATAGCTTCTCATTCAATCATAAAATACTTCAGTGAATTATCATAGCTTACAATTCTGAAAAATCACCTTAATTACAGCACACAAATTTAGCTGTAGCTTTTTGCTGTGATTTTACATACAAAATTAAGATTAAAAGGACTGTACAGAGACTACTACAAAGGTCTACTTCATTTCAATACCTGCACCAGAATCAAAGGAATTAATATGATTCTGCATAGGGCAGTTAATGGTGTCTGTACCATGTAAGCATTTAAAGCATGAAATCCTCAACTCTCCCTCACTTCCTGTGTGCTGAAGTCAAGATGAACGTAGACTTCAGAGAAGGTAAGAAAATGAGTTAAAGAAGAGTGCCTCACATCTAAATGAACAATACCTACAAAAAAAAGTAACTGCACTTTCTTTTAGGCTAAGTGACTTAAATAACACCCCAGAAAAAGACCTACAGAATGGACTCCCTAACCAATTCCTGTTCTTCAGGAAAGACAAAGGGGCAGCACGGTGGTTACAAACCAGAAAAGAGGGCTTAAATTTCTCATTGTCTGTTCTCAGAGATCATCAGTTTGCACATCCGTAATGATGTAAAAAATGACCTTTCAGGAAAAAGGTAATTGTATTTTTAAGGTTGTATTCCTTACAGTGAGATCAGGTTTATATGATCCTGTTACTTCTCCCACACATATGATTAACCGTGCAATGACTTTCAAGACAGTTGGCCAGTTTAAACCAAATTTGTTGCTGGTGGAATTTCATAAAAATAAGGCTACCAGAGAGGCAACAAACTTGCCATAGTATAGCAGCTGAAGGACAAAGCACAAGCTCAGCTATAAACACTGTAGTTAATCTGTAAGATTTTACAGTTTTATGAGAAGATGGTGTCTTGCTAGAATGTTTAAGTAACCACTCAAAACTACTGTCTGCATTATTTGGATAGGCTTTTCTATGCACAATTATTGTCAATTGAATGATGAAAACATCTTTTTTCGTTATCCCTTGATATACAATTAATCAATCACAGTTTATTATGTTCAAATAATCCTAAAAATTCATTAGAATACTACATGTATAAAATTCCGCAAGTTAAAACTACATAAGAATATATCTTACAGGGCTTTAATCATTTCTTCTTGCATTTTCTGTAGTGAATCAAGTAACAGAGGAAGTGTAGTATCATAATATTGGTGCTGATGTAACTGTGCTCCTTTCAGTGCCAACACATACTGATTATGCAACATATGAAGCTTCATAGTGGCTTTATCACACCGATCTTTGGCTTTCTCAGTCTCCTTTCCTAAGAGAAAACAAAAAAAGAAAAATGCACATGGTGATTTAAAAGTATACAAACTCGTAGATGACATGAATCTAGTAGATTTACAAGTTTGCACCTTTTTCTACAGTAGTCTTTTCAAGGTACTTCTCTGAAGAAGGTAAAAGCTGACCATTTTAAGGTCATTAGTAAGACCAAATGTCTTGGTTTTCTAATTAAGAGATTAAGTAAGAAAAAACTGCTATATTTTCTTTCAGCAGAAATGTGAGAATTCTTTACCTAAAAGTATTTGAAAACCACTATCTACACAGGCATAAAAATAACTATGAAGAATAAAGAACAAAACTCATACACATGACTATCACAAAGCTAATCTTTTATTTGCCTCAGAGCAAATACACAGTTTTTAATGGAGAAAGAGATGTCCTACTAGGTCAGCTCCATGATTCATTAAAAATCTGTCATTTATTGTGAGCAAAAATTTACTGCATCTCTTCCCAATAAAGCAATGGTGCAGTCTATATGTGAGTAGCTGAATTCTCACACTACTTCTCCTGTCCAAAATGGGCAGCTTCTCTACTACAACTTAACATTTCCTTAGCACTGTCGGTATCATGATCTGGAGGTTGGCTCTAGAATCTCAGCTCTACACTGTTAGAGACTAGAAGTTGTCAATTTCATGCTGACAACACCAGTTCAAAGGCAGAACAGAAGCTTGACAGCAGACCTTGAAAAGCTGAAATTGTGTCGTATGAGGAATACACAAAGGACAGTGAACTCCAATAAATTACAGTACAGAAACATGTTAAAGCACATCCAAAAAAAGCTGAGGGAAAAACTTGTAAAACAGTAACAAACCCTCTTTCATATACATTGGAGTCAGCAAGCTTGTCAGAAGATGGAAAGGACAGTGACTATATAAAAGGAGCTGGTAGGAAAAGAAAACAAGATTTTTTTGCATCTGTGTTCACTAAGAAAGACCTTCAGAGATTTCCAGGCTGAAATGTCTCTGTGAAAGAGTCAATGAGTCTCTCTCTTCTGAGGTGTCAGAAGGAGAGGTTAGAGAATAAATGAAATAAAAAGAAACTATGAGGACTGGATGGTGTTTAGCTTTGGAATTTTAAAGGAACTTCAGGAAGTTTTAGCTGAAATATTATGACTAGTTTTTACAGGTGGAAGTAGGCACTCAATGGAGTGCCCCAGGCATATCAGTTGGGTCCTGATACATGAGGTGATAAAGATGATGATGAAGACAGTGTCTGAGGGAAGCAAATAGGGGAACCAAACGTGAAGAACTGGGAAAAAACCTTAAGATGTACTGATTAAATTACAAAATAGTAAATTATAGTATGAACATTTATAGAGGTGCATATGGGGAAAAAACTATTCAAGCTTAGTATCTGTTGTAAGCTTACTGAATGCACTCAGGAATGAGATCTTGGGGTTAGTTCAGAAAGATTGATGGAAATCTTAACTCAGTATTCAGCAGCTGTTGAAAAAAGATGCTAATTAGCAAAGGACTACACAGCGTTATGCCACTGACTAAATCCACATGAAACAGTACACAGTTCTTTCACCTCAAGGAGGACATACTTGAAATGAAAAAGGTTTAGAGAAGGCATCAAGCATCAGAAAGGTAAGAAACACAAGCAATCCAGAAGGAATTACTAAAATGAGAACTCCTGAAGCACCAGGAAACTGAGGAGCAACATGTGAGACAGGACACACAGTTAACAACCTCTTCCCAACCTCTTTCAATGTAATCACTGTAAGGCATTATAGGGAAATAGTATATACTTCGTTAAAAACAAAGGACATTCTTCTTCAACTAGCTTGTAGGTAACCTATGCAATCTTTTGGTCAAAGTTATCATAAGCATGAGAAACTTATATGGTTTAATAGTGAATGGACATGTGTACACAAAAAAAAAATCCTGAAGAGCAACTAAGAACTAAGAGAGACAGCACTTCTGACTCAGGAACTCCCTAGGTAACAAATTACCATGAAGTTGAGACAGCTGCCTATCTGTTTCTCCTCATAGGGCTCTCTAGACATTTGCTACCTCACCACCATCAGCTACATTTTAAACACAGAGTAATAAAAATTACTTTAAAAGTGTATTATGTCTGTCATTTAATTGAAAACAATCTAACTGCTGACCTAATTTTATATGTGGAAGGAACCAACTTCTTACGCTATAGTTTAGCTAAATGAACAAAGTTATTCTGCACAACAAAGACAAAACACATCTCCAGAGCTGTCACCAGAGAAGTATTTTTCATTTAGGTATGAATGAAACAATCCACTTTAAACATTTCTGTAAAACTGTTTTCAAGATACAACAAAGTCAAATCTCTCTAAAACTTTTGTCAGACAAAACAGGTTTTATCCTTGGCAAACAATCAAAACTTCATGGGAAGACTGTAATTTTTTTTATTTCCCCCAAACATAAAAACATTGCATTAATTATTTCTAAATTAAATATAGAACATTTGGAGGAAAAATAAAAATCCAACACATCACGCCCAGAATAACATCCCAGAAGTTACAATACCACCAAACATGTGCATGTCTGACACCAGTGTACCAATATAATGGGATGGTATACAATCCCATTTTCACATCTGCCTCAAGGACTAAATTCATTCTCTATATACATTATTCTTAAGCAGAACACCTCAACTAATTTCAGAATAAATTGAAGTATCATACATGCTTAGTTTCTAAATACAGTAGGCTACAGTGTCAACCTGGTCGCCTGCACACCAGGACATATACACTATAAGGTCTTTCTGAAGAATGTGAACATAGGGAAATAACAGAAGGTGACTGAAGAAGGTTAGGACGGGAAGAGGTCAAGTAGTAGTTACAGTCTAGGGACCGGATGAAAGAGGAGAGGACAAGGCAGCTGGAAGTCAGAGCTGGAAGCACCAAGTTTTGCTTGCCCTGGCCCATTCCCTTGGGAGATACAATGGCCAGGGAAACAGGAAGAGGGAGACAAGGTGCTAGCAGAGGGAGAAATGCTGGATTATTTCTTGGGTTTATTGTATGTTTGGCCACTCCTACTCAAACATGCCCTAGATTACGTAATCCAAAATTATCTCCATATGTCATCATTTAAGAGCTTAAAACCTACAATTTCTCCAAGCATGTCTTGAAAATACATCCTCTATCAGCTTTCAGCTTAGCAAAACTCAGCATATGTTAAATTATACCATGGACCTTCAGTATAGGCTTCTGACCTATGGACAACAACAAACAGCCTTCAGCAGTTAAACTAAACTGAAAATTTATATTAAAAATGATACATAACTAGACGCTTATCAATGCCATCACTATTTCAGAAACCTCATTCATGGCTAAACTATCCCATTTTCTCATCTGCCTTGACAACTAAATTCCTTTGCCATACATTATTCCTCAGCAGAACACCTCAACTAATTGCAAAATAAATCAAATTATCACATACACTCAACTTTTAAATACAGCCTTTGGATCTATAATTAATACAACACAGCTACAGTATTATTTCCATATTGTAATCTATTTTTTAAAGCAGCAAAATGCAGTGAGGCAGAGTACACAGTTGTTCTACATATCAATTAGCACAGAGGAAAACATCCAATTTTCTTCATCTGTATAATGAATTTCATAAATAGATCTAATTATAATTCTACTGCCATCAGTTGTTGACAAAACTGTTTCATGTTTATAGAACCTGACTGTGTATACAATATGTCACGCCATAGACAGTATTATGAAGCTTGCAAAATTCAATTATGAAAGTTTGACATTTGCGAAGTAAAGGCTGGCATTCTTTTTAAAACATTCTAGAGTCGAGTACTTCAATTTCTAATAAAAACTCTTTTAAGATTTTACTAAATAGAGTACAACAGAGCCATCCAGAAAAAAATGTTTTAGGGTATTTTCTATTAAAAAGGCAGGTTTGCTACTCCAAAGTTCTTACAATCGCAAGTATTAGTCTCTTGTAGCCTAATATTCACCTAGAATGGAAGAACAGAAACTGGACAGGACAACCAGCTGAGAGCAACTGGAAAAATTTCAGGTCATAGTGTTCACTTCATCTTTTTTTTAAATAAGCATCAGTATGATGCTTATTTAAGAGAGAGACATGTATTTGACAGATGGACCACTTGCTGGATAAGGAATTGGCTGGACAGTCGCACTCAAAGAGTTGCAGTCAATGGCTCAATGTCCAAGTGGAGACCAGTGACAAGTGGCATTCCTCAGGGGTCGGTACTGGGACCGGCGCTGTTTAACATCTTTGTCGGGGACATGGACAGTGGGATTGAGTGCTCCCTCAGCAACTTTGCCGACAACACCAAGCTGTGTGGTGCAGTTGACATGCTGGAGGGAAGGGATGCCATCCAGAGGGACCCTGACAGGCTTGAGAGGTGGGCCCCTCCAAACATCATGAAGTTCAACAAGGCCAAGTGCAAGGTCTTGCACATGGGTTGGGGCAATCGCAAGCACAAATACGGGCTGGACAATGAGTGGATTGAGGGCAGCCCTGAGCAGGACTTGGGGGTGTTCGTTGACAAGGAGCTCAATGTGACGCAGTAATGTGCATTTGCAGCCCAGAAAGCCAACCGTATCCTGGGCTGCCTCAAAAGAAGTGTGGCTAGCAGGTCAAGGGAGGCGATTCTTCCCCTCTGCTCAGAGGGCTGAGCACCTCTCCTATGAATACAGGCCAAGAGAGTTGGGGTTGTTCAGCCTGGAGAAGAGAATGCTCCGGGGAGACCTTACAGCAGCCTTCCAGCACCTAAAGGGGGCCTACAAGAAAGCCCGAGAGGGACTTTTTACAAGGACATGTAGTGATAGGACAAGAGGTAACGGCTTTTAACTGAAAGAGGGTAGATTTAGATTAGATGTAAGCAAGAAGTTCTTGACTGTGAGAGTGGTGAGGCACTGGAACAGGCTGCTCAGAGAGGTTGTGGATGCCCCATCCCTGGAAGCATTCAAGGCCAGGTTGGATGGGACTTTGAGCAACCTGATGTAGTGGA